ACAGACAAAAAAGCTGATCAAAAATCACAAAATCAATCAAAATCAAAAGAGCAGTGAACTGAAAAATCAAGGATTTTTCAGTTCACTGATCTTTTTCATGGGTAAAACAACATTGATGGAACTTACAAGCGAAAGGCAAAGAAATTCTTTGGCCGAAAAAAAGTAAGAAAAACGCAAAATTGGATGAACGAAAGAAAACAGCAACATTGTGAAGAGAATAAAACCTACGAATATTTGCGCAGCCGTGCCATTGCTATAGCGCATAAAGACGGAAAAGTGGGATTTCGCACTCCTGGTATCCTTTAAAAAACATTAGTATGCAAAAAAACAACAAAAAAATTAACAACAAGAAAGGACAACCCGTTGAAGAGTAGAAAAAAACTTACGCAGCAATCATAGGGTTGTAGTCAAAGTAGAGCTTTTCGAATCGTTTCGTTTTGAGATCATAAGGTAGACAGGGCAATCGATTGTGATCAAGAAACAAACACCGAAGTTGCATATCAGAAATCTAAATTTGTTCCCAGTGAGGGAAGTAGTAACAGTAAAGAAAACGATGAAAATCCAAAAACTTACATCTTTGGGCAGACTTGTTAGCAGATTGTGACTTAAATTCAAATTCTGCAGGTTCCTAGCTTTGACTATAGACTCTGGCAGCGAAGTCAGTAGATTTTGAGATAGATTCAGTGCCAGCAATGATGGTGGCAGCAAATCAAAGAACATGGGCTGGAGTTCAAATCAGTACAATTATGGAATTCGTGTTGTAAAAGAAAAGAACTTACCGGAAGCATGTTAATTTCATTTCTCTCCAAGGACAAAACCCGTAAATTTCTCAGCTTGGATACGAGTTTGATTTTTACAAAATTACTTGCTTGACCCAAACGATTACATGACAAGTCCAAAGTGGTTAACATTGGCAGTGAAAACCATCGACTATCAACTGACTGCAGATCTAGATGTAATAAAATACCATCAAACCTATGAAGAAAAACAAAAGCCAAAAACATACCAAGTGCAGAAACCTCAAGCGTCTCTAGCGATGATGGATATGTGATACCACGATAATTTTCACTTGTCACTTTCAAAGACTTCACAACCGCTTTGAAATCAGATTGTTTGATCTGAAAATATTCAAAACGTACAAAAAAGCTTGAAATGTCTGAAATAAATGTACCGTATCCAAAGCCTTCAAGCAGACTTCATCTCCTTTCAGTATTGCTAGAATTTTCTCCAAAAATCGCTGCAGGTGGACGGGATTGCACTAAAATGGGAATTTTCTAGGTAGAAAACCAAGCTAAAACTCCGAACGAAGAATTTCGTACTACGTACCTCACCTTTGTGATTACCACGGTAGCAGCAGGCTCAGCAAAAACTAGTGACATGCTTCCTGCAGAAACTCGATCTTTATGTAAATGTTTCAGATTAGTTGGCGCAACCTAAAACGATAAGGAATAGATAAGTTTCAGGAATAGTCAAAGGCAGTGTCCGGGCAAAAACTCGATTTTGAGAT